GCTTTTTTTCTTTTTGCTTATGTGGTACTGAGGAATCGAACCCAGGGCCTCATGCATGCAAGGCAAGCGCTCTACCACTGAGCCACCTTCCCAGCCCCCACTTCTGGCTTTTTCTGAATATTGGAGATAGTTTCACAGATTTTCCAGCCTGGGCTGGATTCAAACCGTGATCCTCACTTCTTAGCCTCCTTTGTAGCTAGGCCACCAGCTAAGACACCAGCACCTGGCTTTTTTTTTTAATTTACAGAGTATTGTTCTTTAAAATTTTACTCTCCTTTGTCCTGTCCACAATTTCAGCAGATTTCATTGTTCTTTTTTTACATTCAAACAAACTTCTTTGACATAGAGAATGCTTTTTCATAGACAATTACTGCATGAATAGAAAGTAGGATCTCACCGAATCTTTTGAGCAATGAAATAAACAGCCAGCAGAAGGCAGAGACAGCCAACCAAGATTCCCACACCTAGGCCCACCATTTCACCTGGAGGGATACAAAGATGGATGGTATCATTCTGAGACTGATCGATAACTGAGCCCTCCCCAACTTGATGAAGATCAGCCCTGCTCCTCACCCAGTTCTTCGGTGGGGCTTTCTTACCTGTGGTATACAAGGATTCCACTGTAGGGGTGAAGCAATTGGGTCAGTGAAGCTTCAGATCATGTCCCTTTGGGAGCAGCACACCGATTCTATACTTTTGGAAAATCAGCTGGGTACCCATGGCTGGAAGTATGGTTCCCAGAACCCCTCCCCTCTTAACTTTTACCTTCCCAGGGCCCCCATAGTCCCTGCTTTTGAGTTCTTTGGTTTTCCATCCCTTCTGGGCCCTGTATGGTCACCTTGGGTGAAAGAAGCAAAAACTGTTCGTTGATTAAGAGGCTGAGGAGCTCGGTAGTTCTGCACGAGGGGCTCAGAGGACTCTTCCTCTGTGGAGAATAATGTCTCCTGAAGCCTTTCCAGCTGCGGAAGACAAGAAAAGTCACTTTGGAGGCATGGCAAAGACCCTGAAGTTACAACAATGTCTCTTCCTTTACCTCTCTACGACTCACCTGCTCCACTGAGATCTGGGCCCTTCGATGGAAGACTGTCCAGAGGACACTCTGGTAGCAGGGGGGAGTTGTGAGCGAGCCATTGTAACGGAAGAACTGCTCTAGCTGTGGGGGGAGCAGCTCTCCCAGCCTGAAGGGAGGCACTGACGTCTTCTGATCTGGAGAGAACAGACTAGGACTCATCTTCCTCTGAAGTGAAACCCTTGCTCATTGCTTCATCCCAAGGCTTTTTGGGTCAGGTTTTGAAGTTTCTTTGTGTAGATTTTTAGAGCTCACCTTTATGTCTAATTTCATGCAAGTGACTCAGAATGTGTTCATAAGCTGGATTCTCAGTCTCACCCATCTGGAAGGGAAGGAAAGGCAGGGAGTGAGGAATGAGTCCATGTTTCATGTAAGACATTTGTGTGTAAATGCTTAGGGTTGTTTGGCTGTCTACCTTGAATGAGAGGCCAGCAACAGAATAGACCTAAGAGATGCAGAAGCAGCAGACAGAAAGACGTGGAAGGGGTTGGGGACCACTGACCTCAATTAGGATGCCTAGGACAGCCAGGCCTTGAGGCTTCTGGGCAGCCTCACTCAAGCTGCCAAAGGAATCAGAGTCATAATGCACAATGTGGAGCTGGGGGAGGGAGAAGGAACTGAGTCATTGAATGTTTCCTCACTTCCTCTAAGGCCCTATTCATCATCTCAACCCGTGGCATGTCCTAAATCTGTCCCCCAGATTTTAGCCTCATCCTCTAAGGTGCCTTTCCCCAGTGTGTGTATCCTTCCCTCAGGACCAACCATCCCTGCGTCCTCTAAGTCTCCTAGTTCAAGTTCATTTCCGGTACCTCTGCAGCTGTGGCTTCACTGTTGATCTGGTGTTCTGATCCCCCTGGTAATCCTTTCTGACCCCAGTGCAGGTGGAGCTGGGCAGCTACATATTTTCGGGGCAGTCCACCCAAATACAAAGTAGGGGGCAGAGAGAGCTGAACTACAAGGAAAGAACAAAACCTGGTTGGTGAAGGAATGTGGGCCATTCCCACCTGTAGTTAGCACCACTTCCATCTTCCTCCCTCAAAATCACCCAGGTCTAGGGCTGGGAAGGTGGCCCAGTGGTAGAGTGCTTGCCTC